CTTGATAAACTGATGTGAAAAAAGCAAAAGTGGAACTCTAACAAAAAAAAATTAACAATTAAAATGAATGGCAAGATTTACTCTAGCCTTTATCCTTGTGACTATTGTCATTGGCACAAATAGTGAACAGTATTCCAAATTTGTATAACTCTTTGGAGCAGGAGTAGAGTGAAAAACCACCTAGTGGCAACTCCTGTTCTAGTGACAACTGCCAGAGGTGGTATTTCGCCATACTTTGAGGACTTTTGCCTGTTGTGTCTCCAGGGCCAGTTCAGAAGTCATCCCTAAAATGGAACTAAACTCTCCTATTTTTTAATGCCAAGCTAACTGCCATCTTAGCCTGTTTTTGATCTGCGATTGCCATGGGTGCTGCAGATGTGGTCAGTTATGACACCTAACATATATCAAAGACGCAACTACACATGGAACTAACATGATACATCACCAACAATAAAGTCAATTAAAAATGAATTGACAGTTTATTGATACAAAAATATTTAGAAAATCTTGTTACATACATACAGTAGGAAATCTGTTAAAGTATACACAGCTGATTTAATGTATTCAATATATTCTGCATACATGGTGCCATCATATACAATGAGGAACAGAAGTATTTGAACACCCTGTGATTTTGCAAGTTCTCCCACTTAGAAATCATGGAGGGGTCTGAAATTCACATTGTAGGTGCATTCCCACTCTGAGAGACAGAATTAAAAAAAAAAATTCAGGAAATCACATTGTATAATTTTTAAAGAATTTATTTGTCTTGCACTGCTGAACATAAGTATTTGAACACCTGAGAAAATCAGTGTTAATATTTGGTACAGAAGCCTTTGTTTGCAATTACAGAGGTCAAACGTTTCCTGTAGTTCTTGACCAGGTTTGCACACACTGCAACAGGGATTTTGGCCAACTCCTCCACACAGATCTCCTCTAGATCTGTCAGGTTTCAGGGCTGTCGTTGAGCAATACAGAGTTTCAGCTCCCTCCAAAGATGTTCTATTGGATTTAGGTCTGGAGACTGGCTAGGCCACTCCAGAACCTTGATATGCTTCTTACGGAGCCACTCCTTGGTTATCCTGGCTGTGTGCTTCGGGTTGTTGTCATGTTGGAAGACCCAGCCACGACCCATCTTCAATGCTCTGACTGAGGGAAGGAGGTTGTTGCTCAAAATCTCACAATAAATGGCCCCATTCATTCTCTCCTTAATACAATGCAGTCGTCCTGCCCCCTTTGCAGAAAAGCACTCCCAAAGCATGAAGTTACCACCCCCATGCTTCACAGTAGGGATGGTGTTCTTGGGATGCAACTCATCCTTCTTTTTCCTCCAAACACGACGAGTGAAGTTTAGACCAAAAAGTTCTACTTTGGTCTCATCTGACCACACGACTTTCTCCCATGCCTCCTCTGGATCATCCAGATGGTCATTGGCAAACTTCAGACGGGCCTGGACATGTGATGACTTGAGCAGGGGAACCTTCCATGCAATGCATGATTTGAAACCATGACGTCATAGTGTTTCTACTGACACTGACCTTTGAAACTGTGGTCCCAGCTCTCTTCATGTCATTGACCAGCTCCTCCCTTGTAGTTCTAGGCTGATTCCTCACCTTTCTTATCATCAGTGATACCCCACGAGGTGAGATCTTGCATGGAGCTCCAGTCCAAGGGAGACTGACAGTCATCCTTAGCCTCTTCTATTTTCTAACAATTGCTCCAACAGTTGATCTATTTTCACTAAGCTGCTTGGCAATTGTCCCGTAGCTCTTTCCAGCCTTGTGGAGGTCCACAATTTTGTGTCTGGTGTCTTTTGACAGCTCTTTGGTCTTGCCCATGGTAGTAGTTGGTGTCTGACTGACTGTGGGGTGGACAGGTGTCTTTAAAGAGCTCAGACAGGTGCTACTAAGTTAGATTGAGTGGAGTAGAGGTGGACTTTTTAAAGGCACAGTAACAGGTCTTTGAGAGCCAGAATTCTTGCTGTTTCTTAGGTGTTCAAATACTTATGTTCAGCAGTGCAAGACAAATAAATTCTTTGCAAATCATACAATGTGATTTCCTGAATTTGTTTTTAAATTCTGTCTCTCAGAGTGGGAATGCACCTACAATGTGAATTTCAGACCCCTCCATGATTTCTAAGTGAGAGAACTTGGAAAAATGCAGGGTGTTCAAATACTTCTGTTCCTCACTGTAAATCATTGTTATCAATTCCACCCAGTTGATCTCAAGAGTGTTTTCACACCATTCCAGTATATAGAACAGCACATCACATTTTTCTTTATTGTTGGTGATGTACAATACCTTGTCAAAGTCCCATGGGCAGCTGAGTTTTTCATTTATGATTACTTAGGAAAGAAGGTCACTTTGTGTAACAGATCACAATAAGTTAATGTTTTGAGAAACCTATAAATTGTGGGCTTCGGTATATATTCAGTTTACTCATCTGACAGCAAAAACAGAATTTTTTTTTTTTTCTATTCCTAAGACTATGATAATATTACATTTATGACTACAACTAGTATGGTGTGCCTGTTAAGACATCACAGGACACTTGTTTTCACAGTGTTTGATTACTGTTGTGCCTAGAGTTCAATTTTCAGAAATATATCTCTTTGACAACAGGTAGTGTTTTTAATTGAAAACATGTAATTTAGCTCTTGTTATATTCCAGAAATATGTTTGCGTTTGGGATAAACTGTGAACATTATGTACAGTGCATTCAGAAAGTATTCACAGTGCTTAACTTTTGCCACATTTTGTTATGTTACAGCCTTATTTCAAAATGGATTAAATACATTTTTTTCCTCGACATTCTACAAACAATACCCCATAATGACAACGTGAAAGAAGTTAGTTTTGAAATGTTTGCAATTTATTTAAAATAAAAAAACGAACAAAGAACCATATGTACATAAGAATTCACAGCCTTTGCACAATACTTTGTTGAAGCACCTTTAGCACCAATTACAGCCACAAGTCATTTTGAGTATGATGCTACAAGATTGGCACACCTATTTTAGGGCAATTTCTACCATTCTTCTTTGCAGTACCTCTCAAGCTCCATCAGGTTGGATGGGGAGCGTCGGTGCACAGCCATTTTCAGATCTCTCCAGAGGTTCAATCAGGTTCAAGCCTGGGCTCTGGCTGGGCCACTCCAGGACATTCACAGATTTGGCCTGTAGCCACTCCTTTGTTATGTGGGCTGTGTGCTTAGGGTCATTGTCCTGTTGAAAGATGAACTGTCGCCCCAGTCTAGGGTCCAGAGCGCTCTGGAACAGGTTTTCATCAAGGATGTCTCTGTACATTGCTGCATTCATCTTTCCTTTGATCCTGACTAGTCTCCCAGTTCCTGCTGCTGAAAAACATCCCCACAGCGTGGTGCTGCCACCACCATGCTTCACTGTAGGGATCGTATTGGCCAGGTGGTGAGTGGTGCCTGGTTTCCTCCAGACATGATGCTTGGCATTCAGGCAGAGAGTTCAATCTTTGTTTCATCAGACCAGAGAGTTTTGTTTCTCATGGTCTGAGAGTCCCTCAGGTGCCTTTTGGCAAACTCCAGGCAGGCTGCCATTTGCCTTTTACTGAGGAGTGGCTTCCGTCTGGCCACTCTACCATACAGACCTGATTGGTGGAGTGCTGCAGAGAAGGTTGTTCTTTGGGAAGGTTCTCCTCTCTCCACAGAGAAACTCTGGAGCTCTTTCAGAGTGACCATCGGGTGCTTGTTTACCTCCCTGGCTAAGGACCCTCTCCCTCTATCGCTCATTTTGGTCAGGCGGCCCATTCTAGGAAGATTCCTAGTGGTTCTAAACTTCTTCCATTTACAGATGATGGAGGCCACTGTGCTCATTGGGACCTTCAATGCTGCATACATTTTTCTGTACTTTTCCCCAGATCTGTGCCTTGATACTATCCTGTCTTGGAGGTCTACGGACAATTCTTTGGACTTCATGGCTTGGTTTGTGCTCTGACAAGCACTGTTAACTGTGGGACCTTATATAGACAGGTTTATGCCTTTCCTAATTATGTCCAATCAACTGAATTTCCCACAGGTGGACTCCAATCAAGTTGTGGAAACATCTCAAAGATGATCTGTGGGAACAGGATGCACCAGAGCTCAATTTTTAGTTTCATGCTAAGGCTGTGAATACTCATTTACATGTGGTTTTTGTTCGTTTGTTATTTTTAATAAATTGCAAAGATTTCAAAACAAACTTCTTTCCTGTTGTCATTATGGGGTATTGTTTGTGGAATGTTGAGGAAAAAAATTAGTTTAATCCATTTTGGAATAAGGCTGTAACATAACAAACTGTGGCAAAAGTTAAGCGCTGTGAATACTTTCTGGTTGCACTGTACTATGTACTTAAAGTGCCCAGGTGTGTGGGCCAATATGCAGGAAGGTAATCATAGGTCTAAACACGTTTTGCTGTATGGTGGCTTCATCAGGAAGCCAAATGCATGACCATAGTCTCGTTTATGTAGTGCTGTCTGAAAGGCAATACGAAGCCCTATTTAGGTAGTGCATTTTAATAATTTGGTGAATAAGAATGCCCATACACTCCAAAGGAGTGCACCCTCTTCTTGTATAAATACTGGGAAATGCAGGATGTACCATCTCCTGTACACAAGCGGGATTTCTGCCATTAGTGGAGCTTAGCACACAGACAGGCACATCTCCTCTTCCATACAGGAATCTCCGACTCCTCTTTCTCCAGTGTGGCCAACAGTGCAGTGATACACCCTGCACGCCTGGGTGGCAGTAGATTGGTTGCCACACTTCGCCTGAAGTTTTCCATGGTTGTATTGTAGTGCTGCAGTTATGCCACAGTCTGATAGGATACATATTAGAAAGTGTAACAAAATAGAATCTTCAGAGACTAGTGTTGCTTCCAAATAATACTGGGGTTTTGGAAATGATCATTCTTCTTCTCATTGGTTTTTGATTTCTGTACAGAGGTGAATCATTGCTGATTATTGATTAATTTCCTTTTTTTTTTTTTTAGGAACACAGTAAGGATGAGCTGGATGCTTGGAAGATTGTTCGTGTTAGTGAAGATTTTCGAGTGATTGCTTTAGGGCTACCAGTGCCCAAGTATACTGGCAATCCTCTTGACCCTCCACTGCGCTCTAGATTTCAAGCCAGAGATATTTATTATTTGCCTTTTAAAGTAAGACCAAATATTTGTTGCTTTCATGCTGTAAGCTTTCTGATTTGTTTCTTCAATTCTAGCAGGACTTTTCAGTGCACACTCCAGTGTATGTGTCCTTAAAGCGGTATCAAACTCTACAAACATTTTTTTTTTTTTAAATAGACCCTCTGCATATTTGTGTCATAATGTGCTAGTATGCACCGCACACTAGCACATTATGCCAGACTTGCCTTTCAAACTAAGCCCTCTAATGCTGAGCTGTCACCTCTTCCGGTGCTTCCTTGTACTTCCTCCTAATGCCCTATCTTCTAATGCTCCATTTTTTTAGGTGTCTCCTTATTATTTCTTTGTTCAGTTTCTGCCTAACTTGTTTCTTAGTTTAACTGAGATCCATGTAATAAGTTCTGTGAATTTATTGAGAGGGAGAGGTAGATTACCTCTTTTGTCCCTTGCTTATAGGTGATCACATACTACCTGCTTTCAGCCGTTGAAATGTTGGGTTTTCTTATTCTTTAAATAACACTTACATGTCTTGTCTCTTCCCAGCTTGTGAATGGAAAAGCAGCACACTAATGGGCCCATCTCTGTTACTTTGTTTCTCCTAGCAATATTTTCCTTATTAGCACTGCAACGGACTTGAATAACTGTTAGGGCTCATTTAGACAGGGGTGTTCACATGCAACGGCCATAACAAAAATGACCCCTTCTGTCACTTTACATGGACATTACTGCCACAGAATGTGATTTTTGATGAATGGGTCCGTGCTGCAGCTGTCCCACAACAGCATGCAATTTACTTGATTGTGCTGCAGTACTGTGGCATTCAGAGGATTAAAATAGGTGGTGAGAAGGCGATATATCGCCTTTTCACTGTCTGTCAATCACTTCTGCAAAGCGATCTGACCACACATCTAAACCTAGTCTTAGTGCTATTTCTCCCTCTACCAGTATCCCACAAGGCATTGTAGGAGGTTGAAACCAAGTCAAAATCAAGTACTTCCACTGCTTGCAGTAAAAAAAAATACATTTCATTAATTATTACTGAATACAGAGCTGCATTGATTTGTGTGTGTAATGTCTGCTTGTATTTCAGGTTTTAGGAAAATAAAGCCTTTTAAATTTTTTTCTAAGTAAATACTGGATTGCTCTTGGCAACCTATCAGGCAGTCATTTCATTTTCAGAGTGTCTGAAGTAAGAACGTTTTGATGCAATTAGAAGGCAGTCTCATTCTCCCTTTAAGTTTTTTTCTACTGCTACTTTGCTCTACTGCTAAAAAAAAAAAAAAAAAAAAAAAATCTGTTCTTTGTTTAGTTTTTTTTTGTTTGTGAATGAGGCCATGTACTTAGTTAATATGTAATTGTGAAAATTAATAAGAGGTGCCATCAGTGCTGCCCTACATTATGTGATTTGACCAATTTTTTTTCTATTGTTCTTAACCCAAACAGGATCAGCTTCAAATACTCTATTCGGCTGGATCAAATGTTCCGACAGAAAGGTAATGAAACACAGCTGTACTCTGGACACACCAGAAGTCAATCTGGTGGTAGCAGATGTCCTATGATGTTAGTATAAGTGTATTTTACTAGCTGAAGCTTTGCCTTTAGTATAAATCAGTACCAACACCTCATAATTATGTTTGTTCAAGGTCATTGACTTAGAAGTTAAAGTGTATTTAAAACCAAAACCAAAAATGTTCTATATTTTGCAGCTTACCAATTCTCAGCTGTGGTGACTACATTTTCTTATTTTATGCTTTTTTTTATTTTATTTACACCTATTGATCTGGCCAGTAAGTCTGTTATTGTTCATTTTCTTATAACAGACCAAGCTGTCCAACAAATGTGCCAGTTAGAGTGTTGAAACAAATCATTTACCACTGACGGGTACAGTGGTAAGCGATTATTCATTCATGTAAAACTATCATCCAAAAAGTAAAATTGTTGCTATAACTGCTTAAAAGTGTTAGCTGGAGTTCAGCTTTAGGACTCATTCACATGCGTGGTGCCCTCTGAAGAGCAATTTCTGTTCAGATTATTTTTCAGTTGGCGTTTGACAGGTGGTGTGAAGCGATATGTCGCCTCCTCACTGCCTTCTTTATCCCTGTAAATTTTGCATTTCCGCACTGCAATGGCATGCATTGCATTCGGTTTGGGGATGGTCGCATCATGGCCCATAGGCCTGCATTGGTCATGTGCAGCTACTTACTAATTTTTGCCATGGCCTTGAAGCACAGCATTGCAGATGTGGTGTGTGTACAGCTGTGAGCAGCTGGGTGTCAGTGTTTAGGCAGGCAGTTTGGGCCAATAAAACTATGGCTCAACCACTTGGTTTTACTGCTCCCTGGTTATGTGAATGGAGCCTTAATTCTTTGATTAAGTCAATTTAAATTTGCTAGTGCCTCTATTTTGGGTTGCTCCCAAAATCGTAATAGAGGGGAAATCTTCCAAGGGGGACACTAGTTCTGGTGACCTGGTGGACCCCAAGGGATTCCCTTAATTTGCAGATACTTTCTCGCACTTCATGTTTTGGCTGTGGGATAGGAAGTGAACGGAAATCTCCCCAACAGGATACAAATGCCAAAATGGAAAAAAAAAATGTTCCTATAGTTCTAATGAAACATTTTACTTATAAATGTCATTGTGTTACCTGTGATGTTCACCTCTCCTGCCACTAAATTAGGGACAGCTCACCCTCATTAGGTTGTGGGGCAGCACATTGAAACACTGGGGTCCTCAGTTCAAGTCATGGACAGAACATGATCTTCGTGTGCTTGTGTGGGTTTCCTCTGGGTAGTCCAGTTTCCTCTCACACTCCAAAGACATACTGGTAGGTATTTGGCTCCTGTCTAAATTGGCCTTAGCATGATGTTCTACTAAGTATGTCCAAGATGTCTGCCTCTCCCTCTGGCAAATGGCAGATCAAGCATTTTGAATCCCCAGGGAGAAAGGTGATATAGAAATTTAGATTAACAATGTGGAACCTGTGGAAAAAAAAATGTTCACAGGCAGGTAATTTTAATGCAGAAGATTTTCCAAATCTGACTGAAATTCTGCGCATGTGTGGGAGTGACATCATACCCACCCAGCCAATTACAGTGGCTGGGGTTCGAGAACCCGGAAGCTGGCTGCCCGAAGATGCCAGCAGCATGGCGGGGAGCAGAGGGTCGCTGCATCGCTGAAGTCGAGGTGATTATAGTTCTGCTTTAAAGTGTAATTCCAGTCAAATTCTAACTAAGCCTAAATCTACTCCCACCCCCATTCTATAGCTATTCTATCTGCCCTGTAAAGAATCGGCTTCATTGTAATGGAGGGGCAGTCAACAATGGCTGCCCCATAGTAAGCCTGATAGTAAGCAATGTCTTCGCCCAGGATTTGCAACCATTGTCGCTGCCTCTCCTCCACACTGAAGCTGGCACTGGGATCTGATTGTGTGACCAAGCAGGAGCAGCTTCAGATTGTTTAGATATACACACTTTTCTTTTACATGGTAGATAGAATAGTCTTAGAATGGGGGTGCGAGTAGATTTAGGATTAGTTAGAATTTGACTGGAATTGCACTTTCATAGTGATTAAAGCTTAGACAGTGTCATGCTTCATTTGTTGTGTTTGTTTTTATAGTACATCTATGTTTGATCTGAGTAGTATAAGCTAGGGCTAGTATGGCAAAGAAGTGGTCTGTTTGTGTAGCATTTAAAGATGTATACTTGATACTTTTCATTGCTCCAAAGTAGTTTTTAGGGTGTTTATTAACAATTTACTATATGTTAAATATATCTAGTCTTTAACAGAATACTGCATTATCACAACTGATTGTATTTTCTGAGTGCATTTTTAGGTTTTATTCTTTTGTATTTTTAAATGTTGTTAAAGCATGAACTTGTATACATAATGTTAAAGCAGTATACTGTACACACACTGTCAGGTAGTTTATTTGAGACCAAAATTGTGCAGATTTTTTTATGGTTAATTTATTTTTTACTGGAATTTCATGTTTATCAGCTCCTATTTATTTCTCTTAAGGATTTCCCAGCTTTTGTCATTTGCTACAACTCTGTGCTCTCAAGAATCTGCCAGCCTTGGGCTTCCAGATTTCCCAGCAGACAACTTGACAGCAGCCATTGGCATTTTGGTAAGCCATTTAAAATGGTATTCTTTTAGAATCATCTTTAAATAATTAATCTTGGTCTTACATTTGTACAGAATGAAAATCATTCGGTAGGTCTCACAGAACACAGATTTTGTTTCCTGGGAGAAAGAATGATGTAAATGTTCTGCTTGCAGTTTGGTATTTTTGTGTGTATCTGTGTTAACACTGCAAAAACACTAAATGTTTGTTCAATGTAAAATGGCATAATATGATAGCTTACTTTTGTAATGCATACTGTCTGAAAAATTTTGTGGTTGTCTTTGTTAACACTGTTCTATCTGGAACCATTTTTTTGCTGTTTAGTAAATTGTGCTGTGATTCATGGCAATCACATTTTATGGGTCGCCAATATGTTGTGATTTTTTTGCCCAGTTAAAGGTGGGATCATGGTAAATTTCATTATATCCTCATATAGCCATACAAGGAAAATATGAATCAATGAAGCTGAGGTCTAGCGAGGAAAGTTCCTTTCAACTGTTTTAGGCTTGGTGCATTGATAAAATGCAGCTGTCATGGATTAGCAGGAAGTTCTAGGTGGCTATTCACCTCCATGGTTTAAGTGCAATGGCCCCTTTGAATCCTGAGGCATTCTAGTAAGAAAATGTTTTAACCATTTCCACTTATCAACAACCTGGTGATGCTTGCCTCTTCCCACCATTGCCAAATGGATGAAAAAAGCTGTACATATTTAAGAGCGAAAAAAGTTTATGTTGATCTCCTCTGGCTAGAGTGCAGGGACCTCTCCAGGAAGGTACTTCATATACCTGAGCAGATCAAGGAGATTCTCAGCACAGTGATATGAACACTTCTTCCAGTAAACACCGTAAGCCGGCTATATATGGTTTGACATTTGGCCATTTCAGCAGGGACCGGCTGAATTTTGAGCCATGTATGGAATAGCTGGTTGTACACAAGTCAATCTAATGATTGACTTGTGTACAACCAGCCCATCTCTTTTTTCCCCAAATGCTCAGTGCCACCAGCTATAGCCAGCAACACTGATCATTGTATTCAGCTGGCCGTGAATGCACCCCACCAGAAGAACACAATAGCACTGTGGGAAGGATTCTCCCATCAACACTTAGTGTGTTGATGATGGGATCATAACATTTTTAGCTCTTTGGTTGAACAAAAAAAAGAATGTATAATGTATGGCCAGCCTTAGACATCAAGACAACCAAAATTTGTTTCACACAAAAGAACTACAAGCCAGTGCCCTACTATAGAATCTGTTTCTTTGCTGTATATCTTATCAGGTGCTATCAGGCTGTGGAAAACGTTAAGCATTACTTACCAACATGTCATGTTCTGTCATCTTTTGACAGCACCCTCCCTTTTTCCCAAGTTTTTGTTTGTCACAGAAAGCAATTTCTAGTACAATTTCTAGCACACACTGGGGATATGGGGAAAGAAGAGGTTTTAACCTTCAGTTCTTTACAGCATTTACACATTATTGTCCAAACTGTGAGAAATAGACTAGTCATGAGTCACACATTTTAAAGTTTACCTGATTAGCTAAAATACTTTTTATCTTTACAAAAGAAAAATGTTTCCTAAATTTAGGCTATAGAGACCACATGACACTTGAAAAAAATATATGCTTATTCTTTATGTACCTTAACATTGCACAGTAAATGATTGTTTAATGTGATTAAATTGAATTATGATAATCATAGTATTCAGACTGAAACTGCTTTGCTTTCACTTAGAGACAGACAATTTAAAGTCCTTAACACATCAAGAAACTTTCTGTTTGGTAATGTTTGTGTGTAGGGTAAAATATCAGGATTAGTTGATTTATTTATGGTGTCTTTGACTCTATTGATTCAAATTGCCTATGGTTGTTGAATGTGGTTCTGAGTGACCGTGCAGCTTGGATAGCAGTTAAAGTGTTACAAAACCCAGCTCTGTTCATGCAGTGCTGGTGGCAAGGTTGGTGAGCACAAGTGAGAATGAAATGTTCAAAAACAAATACAGTACAAATCATAGTATGAGAAACAAGCAGACCTTGACCAGCTTCAACCTTAGGCCTCGTTCACTCTATATGTGCAGAAAAACTGATGGAAACTGATGCACAGATTTCACTTGCAGAGACATCAGTTTATATCAGTTTTCATGCACGCATCAATGAGGTTTATACACGTTGCAGATTCCTGCGCAAAAAAAAAAAAAACTGCATGTGATACTAGTGTTGTGGTGTGAACAGAGCACATAGAGAATAATTGATTTTGTTGTGCCCTTGCAGGGCACATACAAAACTGGCGTCTCTGTACCATGGTGTGAACGAGCCTTAAAGTGTTACTAAACTCAGGACCCTGCATTCACTATATCTGGTCTCCCACAGTACACAGAACATGGAAATGCAATTACAATTATTTTAGTAAATATAAACTGCTAAATACCTTTTCTTATCAGCAGTAAATAGCAGTTTTGTGACTTCTATCAGTGTCTCGCCGAGCACTGGTTAAAGAGTGTAGGAGGAGTTTTCATTCTCCTCTGACTGTCCTATGAGCCTGCATGACCCCTGATCCTCTGCTGGACAGTGCTGATTGGCCCTGTGCCAATCATATGCATCCTCCCCCTCAAAAAAAAAAACAAAACTCTCTAGCAATCCACATTAAACTGAGCATCTGCAGAGTGCCTCCTAGGGCTCTATACTATCAGCAGATGGATTTGGAACTGTGAAAGAAGGGGAGAATCAGAGAAGACGGATCAAAAAGCCTTTTTACACAATGCTAAGGATTAACCCCTTAGGTTTCACAGTGAGTATAAGAAGCATGCTTTACTGCATATACAGACTGATTTTACTGTTGTGGGTTTAGTAACACTTTAAGATTGTTATTATATCAAACATTAACATAATACATTACATAGAGAGCATGTGTTTTGTCTAAAAATACATCTAAGTATTTACAGCAACACATTCCTTGTTAAAACATTACAGAGCAGCACTTGTTTATGTAATGAATGCTATAAATATCTGACTCCTTTGTGATAGTAAGGACCATTCTTCCACGGATACCACTATGCTGTGCTTTCAGTAAACTACTGATTGTATTAAAAGAACTGTGTTTATTGACTACTGTTTAGTTTAAATTGACACAGTGATGCTGTTCTCTTCGCTCACAATGCCAAAAATCAGCGGGATTCAGACGCTCTGGGTCATTGCACCCAGGTATGGATGAATAGGATTATAAGGTTTATTTGGTCTTAATTATAGAAGAGCATCCACTCTAGGGGGTTGGTTTACTAAAGGCAAATACACTGTGCACTGCAGTTGCTCCAGAGCTTAGTAAAGGAGGTAAAGCTTCACTTTGCACAGAATACTCAATCACATACAAGGAAAATATAACCATTTTTCTTGCATGTGATTGGATGATAGAATTCAGCAGAGCTTCCCCTCAGATCTAGAGCAACTGCACTTGCAGTGCACAGACTATTTGCCTTTATTAAATCAACCCTTATGTGTGGCATTAACAAATGTTTACCTGCTTTGAGGTGTGCAGCTTTAAGACAGATATTCATTTTGAATGGACTGGCAGTGCCCCTCAATGCACAAGAAAGTACTGGCACCATTTTTTAAAATTCTACATATCATGAATAGCTCCCAAATAAACATATATAGTAATTCATTTGGAATGGCTCAGCAGCATTAAGCACATACCTCGTGTTAATATGCATTGCAGTAGCAAATTTTACTACGTTACTACAATGCATATACAGTCAGGTCCAAAAATATTGGGACATCGACACAATTCTAATATTTTTGGCTCTATACACCACCACAATGGATTTGAAATGAAACTAATAAGATGTTCTTTAACTGCAGACTGTCAGCTTTAATTCGAGGGTATTTACATCCAAATCAGGTGAACGGTGTATGAATTACAACAGTTTGCATATGTGCCTCCCACTTGTTAAGGAACCAAAAGTAAGGGGACAGAATAATAATCATAAATCAAACTTTCACTTTTTAATACTTGGTTGCAAATCCTTTGCAGTCAATTGCAGCCTGAAGTCTGGAACGCATAGACATCACCAGACACTGGGTTTCATCCCTGGTGATGCTCTGCCAGGCCTCTACTTCAACTGTCTTCAGTTCCTGCTTGTTCTTGGGGCATTTTCCCTTCAGTTTTGTCTTCAGCAAGTGAAATGCATGCTCAATCGGATTCAGGTCAGGTGATTGACTTGGCCATTGCATAACATTCCACTTCTTTCCCTTAAAAAACTCTTTGGTTGCTTTTGCAGTATGCTTTGGGTCATTGTCCATCTGCACTGTGAAGCTCGTCCAATGAGTTCTGAAGCATTTGGCTGAATGTGAGCAGATAATATTGCCCAAAACACTTCAGAATTCATCCTGCTGCTTTTGTCAGCAGTCACATCATGAATAAATGCAAGAGAACCAGTTCCATTGGCAGCCATACATGCCCACGCCATGACACTACCACCACCATGCTTCACTGATGAGGTGGTATGCTTAGGATCATGAGCAGTTCCTTTCCTTCTCCATACTCTTCTCTTCCCATCACTCTGGTACAAGTTGATCTTGGTCTCATCTGTCCATAGGATGTTGTTCCAGAACTGTGAAGGCTTTTTTAGATGTCGTTTGGCAAACTCTAATCTGGCCTTCCTGTTTTTGAGGCTCACCAATGGTTTACATCTTGTGGTGAACCCTCTGTATTCACTCTGGTGAAGTCTTCTCTTGATTGTTGACTTTGACACACATACACCTACCTCCTGGAGAGTGTTCTTGATCTGGCCAACTGTTGTGAAAGGTGTTTTCTTCACCAGGGAAAGAATTCTTCGGTCATTCACCACAGTTGTTTTCCATGGTATTCCGGGTCTTTTGGTGTTGCTGAGCTCAAGGGTGCGTTCCTTCTTTTTAAGAATGTTCCAAACAGTTGTTTTTGGCCACGCCTAATGTATTTGCTATCTCTCTAATGGATTTGTTTTGTTTTTTCAGCCTAATGATGGCTTGCTTCACTGATAGTGACAGCTCTTTGGATCTCATCTTGAGAGTTGACAGCAACAGATTCCAAATGCAAATAGCACACTTGAAATGAACTCTGGACTTTTTATCTGCTCACTGTAATTGGGATAATGAGGGAATAACACACACCTGGCCATGGAACAGCTGAGAAGCCAATTGTTCCATTACTTTTGGTTCCTTAACAAGTGGGAGGCACATATGCAAACTGTTGTAATTCCTACACCGTTCACCTGATTTGGATGTAAATACCCTCAAATTAAAGCTGACAGTCTGCAGTTAAAGCACATCTTGTTTGTTTCATTTCAAATCCATTTGTGGTGTGTATAGAGCCAAAAATGTTAGAATTGTGTCAATGTCCCAATATTTATGGACCTGACTGTATATGTGAATGGACCCTAAATGTGTGTTCTATAGGAATTATCCTGGGTGGGCCTTGAGATAAAAGGCACATTAACACTTAGTATTGTTTTAACACATTCACATTAACAAATGCATTTCTATGCACTGAGGCTCATTGTGCAGTATTTCCCACTCCTCAGTGATTGACGTTTGGTGGACATCATCCTTCTCTAAATTAGTGCACACAGCTTTTCCTAAATGTGAACAGTGTACCAGATATTATGTCAGGGTGTTTGCACGTCAGATCCCACTCTACAGTATAAAACATTATACTAAGCTCCCCTTCCATATTTCTTGTGCCTTGTTTACATTTACAGATTGAGGAATGGAAGGGGGGTTTGTGGTGAAAACAAATGGTTGAGCCACAGTGCTCAATCTAACTTAATGGCCAGTGGGGGTTGTACACATGCCACAGCAAAAGTCATACCCCCTGTCATGTGGGTTAAGTGAATTGGGCCACGCTGCTACTGCCCTGCATTGGAGGATTTACAGGGTTAAAACAGAAAGTGAGGAGATGACATATCCGCTCTCAGCCACCTGTCAGATGGCCTCTGAGAAGTGATCCACTGTGGATCACTTTTTTAGAGGGCAGTGCAGAATAACTGAGCCTTTACTGCATCTGTTCAAGTGAGCAATACAGCACACATTAACATCTAAAACATTAGGGCCTGTTTCACACAGCCTTCAGCTTGTATAAGAGTGGTATGAACAGCAAGCTTTGACAGAACATTTGCAGTACCATTCAACTCCAGTGTGTAAATGTTGAACGTAGAAACAGAGAAAAAGACCATGTAGTCCACCGAGTCTGCCTGTTTTTTGTTTTGTTTTTGTTTTTTTGTGGGCGGGGGGTTGTTTTTTTTTTTTTTGTTTTGTTTTTTTGGGGTGAAGGGGAGGTTGTTAACTTTTTTTATCTGAGTATAGATCTATGCTTGTCCCAAGCATGTTTGAAGCTATTTACTGTTGGCTGGCTCACTACCTCTGCTGGAATTTTATTCCAAGCATCAACTACTCTTTCAGTAAAATGGAAAGATCCTAATGGGAGTGTTAACTGCCATTTAAGAAAGGTGCTAGCAAGCTTACAACAGGCTCCAAGAAGTGCTGAAGCCTACTAGCAGCTTGTTTAAAGTGGCAGTCAGCACATCCATTAGGATCTGTGTTCAACATTTACCAATTGGAGCTGAATAATACTATAAAAGCTTCAACAAAGTTTGCTGTTCACACTGCTTTATACTGTACAAGCTGAAGCCTATATGAAACAAACCTAACAAATCCAGTAAGCATGTCAGTTCTACTCACTGAGCAACAATATTGAATTTACACATAAAGAGCAACACAACTTACAGTACACTGATAGCTGCAGTTCCTGATTCCTACTGTAGGTAAGGCTCTGTGGAAATTGTGTGCACCGCGCAGTCCATGGGGCATTATAAAGACCATGGCTTTTATTCAGCTGGAACTTGGTGGAACTCGTTCCACCACCTCTGGATCAGACCTTCTGCTCACCTCAGAAAACACAGAAGTCCTGCTTCTGTATTTACAAATGACAGCTTGTCTTCCAACAGCTCCCACAGAACTGATCTCCTGAGAGTGCAGGATGGGGACAAGGGAGATGCTGGTGCCCTGAGTACAGTGCAGATGCCGACACCTCCACTAGATGATCTCCCTGCAAGTGAGAGAGGCAGAGCCATCTACAGTGTACAGGGAGGTACTAGAGCCAGCTGGGTGCTTCATCTCAATACAACAAAAGTAAGACGTGGTAGATGGTAGAGCTTTTAAGGATGGGGGAGAAGATGGGGACAGTGGAGGGGGGCTTGCATGCAGAGGTGAGAGCTGAAGAGGGGTGAAAGCGAGATGAGGATGGGGAATGCTGAGGTAAGCAGCTGCGGAAGAAGGCTGAACTCTGCACTCTGCGTGTAGTGCACCCCTGAACTCTGCACTCTGTATATAGCACAACCCTGAACTCGGCACGTAGCACACCCCTGAACTCTCTGCACTCTGTGCTATGCACTCTGTATGTAATGCATTCCTGGTATTTAATACCCCTTTAAGACTAACCCTCCTACTGTTATTGAAATTTGACCACACTGACCATTTGATGCGGTTTGGAGGTGTGTGTGTATGGGAAAGTGGAGTCATGGTTGAGCTCCTGCACCTATTTTCTGAAAAAAAAAAAAGACCTAAGAATGTCAATAGGTCTTGTGTGAGACTGGCTGTCTGCAGGCACAAAGTGTGACTGCTGCAATGCCCTTCAATGAAAACCTGGAGGGACAAAGCGTGGAAAGGAAAGGGAGAAGAGTAAGATCAAACAGTTTTCCACTAAGTATCAGAGCCTGGAGCAGACTGAACTAAAATAAGTCATAATATATTGAATCAGCTGTCAATGAATAAAAAATCAGACCTCTGCTACTTCTAGCAAAGCAGTATACCCCATCACACAGTATTAACATCTGTGTGTTGCAATGCACTATAGTTCAGGTACATCTGTATCAGGGGCAGACTGACAACTCATGGGGCCCCCGAGCAATAGGGGATCATGGGGCCCCTGTGTCCTTGCCCACACTCAAAAAAGCTATAAAAAAGGTACCAGGGGCATTTCATGGGGCCCCCTACTGACCCCGGGCCCTCGGGCAGTGCCCGAGTGCTCGAATGGTCAGTCTGCCTCTTGTCTGTATACATGTGTTAAGTACTGGTTCACATATATGCGGATTGGATGCCTCTGAACTGCAACCAATCTGCATGACGTGTTGAAATGAAATTGCTTCCTCTTGTGCCTGTTCACATATGTCCGGTGCACTGGCAGTGCGCATTCAGTGCAAATTGAAAAAGAGTCTTGTACAATTTCTGAGCAGTGCAGTCCGGTTCAGGTGCGGATTACAGGCTATTGACTTATATGGGAAACGTATTCTAAACCGCACATAGCATCAGTTGTGAACAGGATAAAATCCTCAACTGAACCTGATCTAAACCTGTCCTGAATCTGATGTAAACCTGACCTGAACCACTGAACAACTACGGTATCAATGAGCTGTGAAACCTGAGCTTCAATCCGCACATGTGTGAATCGGCTCTGAATGAGCATTGTATAAGTGCAGTTAATCACACAATGCCCATGTGAATGGGTGCTTTGAGGTTTGTAGCTTACGTTATTCTGGAAATCAAGCTTCCAGGAAACAAAACTAAAAAGCATTAGCAGCAATTTTCTCTAGAACAACTAGCTCCTAGGATTTGTCCAGCTCTTGATTTAGTTGATTTTTAAAACCATCTTTTGATTTAGTCACCAGTGGTCCAGTTTTCCAGCACAGATTTAAATATAGCGATTTCCTCAAAAAAGCATATTATTTATGTTTGGTATACAGCTGAATACAAAAATTGTCCATTGTAAATTGGAGGGACTTTCTGCTGTGCTTTTCAAAAATATGATTGGCAGCTAGTCAGTGGTACAGAGACAAAACTCTTCTTCCAAAAAAAATGTTCAATTTTTGTTGTTTTTATAGTATATCTAGCTTTCATTTTTTTGACCTGTAAATTCCAAAGTGCATTTGTCTTCTTGTAAGCAATAATGATTTTTTGTCTTTATCCATCCAAAGAATGCGTTTCCCAAGATGTCCTCCCAAAGAGTGATTGAAAGGTTGTATCCTTATAGTGTGTTATTGGGGAAAGAAGGCAGGACTGCTGTGCAGGATGCATTAAAGGTAAGCATTATTGTTGGCACATTTCACAAATGCTTCTAGTCTGAATTAGCATTCCAGACTTTTTTTCTTTTTTATATAATCTAAAGTGTATATGACGGCTGATTAGGTCCTTAAAAAGAAAATGGTGTTTCAATTGTTAATTGCTGTGATGCAGGCACATAATTTGCTGTTAAATGTTAAGTAGATATTGGCATTTAAAAGTATTTAAGAATTTTATTTCTTTTTAGTTTATTTTCATTTGTAAGCATCATTGTAAACATAATTTTGCACTAAATCCAATATTTACTGATATACTTGTGAGGATCTGGGCATACTGAAGCATTTTCTTGTTTTCTTTTCTCCTTGGTTTTGTTTGTAAAGATAAAGCCTATAAATTCATAGTTTAAAGTAGAAGTCTCGTAAATACCCCAACTGTTAATTGCTGCCCCCCAGCGTTCCCTATTGCGCTGCATAGTTTTTTTTGTATAAATCACTAAGTAAATACTTGTTCTTTATGTTTTTCAATGCTGTCACATGACTGCAAAGCAAAATCTCTGCTGAGTAGTGTGTGGCTGATGGGAGGACTTGCTCCCTCACCAACGACACTCAGAGCAGTGGACATCAGTGGGTGATGTCACTGCTTTCTGTGATTGGGTCACATTGTTGGTATTGAAAAGCCTAAGCTTCTGCTTTAAAGTGATTGTAAACCCTTACATATTCCCAGTGAAGTGACTGGCCTCAGGTGATACACAAAGATGAAACAAATCTTCCTACATAAATTGTACCTGTTTATCTGCAGTTTTCTCCTCTACATCCGTTCAAAGTACTGAATCTTTAAGCTTGTCTGAGACTTCCGAAAAATAGAGGGTGGAGAACTGAAGTTTCACTCTGCAGCACTCAGTGAGGAGAGCTCTGGGAGCTGATTGGAGGAACCCTACCCCCTCCACACTGCTCACAGGAACATAGCTGAGGATGTCCCTGGAGGTCCCTCTCCTGTCACCATATTTCTTTCCTTGGTGTTGGGAAAACATGTCAGAAATTATTCATGCTGATAGCAGATGAACAAGGCAGCAGACAGAAATTACACTTAGTGCTCTTGCTTGAGACTATAGAGGGATAAGCTTTATGCATGTTTCATGTCTGAGGTTTACAACCACTTTAGGGACCTGTATGTGGTTGATGCTGGTAGTGATAGTATTCATTATATTAATTAATTTTAGTTATTTGTTTATTCATGTTTACATTTAGACCAAAAGTAACAGGGGTTAGAAAGCAGTTGAAGTGGTATGTCCATATGTGTCAGGTGGCTTGTCTTTTTTTTAATATTTCTTGAGCAAAAAATCTGCTTTCATATACTGTGAGAATTCAGCTTTCTAAAACACTGAAAATGGTCTGGTGTAGCCTTTCTTCCGTACATTTTACAAAGCTGTTTTTCACTTGTTCAGGTTGCACATCTTTTGTGACAATTATGTTTGTGAATATAAACATTTCTATTCAATTGTTTTTGTTAATATCTTACTATGTTTTCAGAGATTCGAACTGTCAGACTCTGGAAAGCACTCTGATTCTCTGACAATCATGAATGTAGAGCCAGTGCAGAATTTTGAAAACCCTCAAGCAGCAGTGACTTTACGATCAGGTGACAAGAACATCTTAGTGGAGGTAAGGTGCCTTATTAATCAGTTTGTCAGATAATATTAATAATGAAACATTGTACAGTATGGTACAAATATAAGCAAAATTGCAACTGTGTGGTACTTTTCCAAATTAAAAGGGACGGTTACTTTCTGGAAAAAAAAAGGCACAGTTACAAGGTTGCAGCATTCTCATCCTTAATAAACCAAATTATGTAGCAGTTTCACTCTGAATCAACTAATTCAGAGAAAATGGTGCTGTCAGATCACTAGCATGACTGGAGGATTTCTTTCACCTGCCTCCTGATAGTTTTTAATCCAACCCAAACATGCCTTTAATTTATGCATTGCTTACCATTGAAAGTTGTTAAAGATGATAATTTTAAAACAATTCTGGTCACCACAAATGTCTATTGCTTTTAAGGCAAAATCGAATGTACGTATGGCATTCTGATAGTGTGGCAGAAAGATATCCTTGATTTTAATAAAAAAAAGATTGGGAGGAGTGTCTGGAATTGCCACACAAAGGGTTTGATTTCCTAAAGGCAAAAAGACTGTGCAGTTGTACTCATATTCCCCAGAGCTTAGTGTAGTGAAACACTGCTGATTTCCATCATCCATTCATGTGAAAGCAAAAATGCTGTTTTTTTTATTTTCATTGAACCTGATTGAGTATTCTTTGCAAAGTGAAGCTTCACCAAATTCACCAAGTTCTGGGGAAATTAGTAAAGCTGCATGTGCAAATGGCACAGTCTATTTGTCTTTAGTACATCAACCCCAAAGACTCACTATGGGATAGAAACATTTCAAACATAACCCATGCTGCTCACCTTACCCCAAATACTTTATGATCTGTAACCTGCTACAGCACTTATATAAATTTGTAAAAATTTGTATAGCTTGCCGATGCCCAATAAAACTTTAACAAATATATATTGTGAAAGAGCTAGGCCTTGCTGTGATGTGATTATAGGAAAAAGACACATAGGATTCACATTAGGCAAAGTGTCAAGCTTCAGAGCACTGTTTTTCAATGGAGAAGACTGGACTGTCAGTGTTCTCCTGATTTTGTAATCCTGGAGCAGAGCCATGAGCTTGAAGGCTTTAAAGTGTCTTTGGTGGAACTGAGCCTTCAATCCTTTGTCCGGTTCTTGCTGGAGTCCTGCAGGTTGTGTGTTTGTACAGGTGTGCACACTTGTTTTAAACAAGGCCCGGGTATAGCTCAGGCGGGAGGTGTGCTCCTGTTTGGTGACAGGTGGGAGGTGTGCTCCCATTTGAAGACAGGCTGGAGGTGTGCTCCCATTTGAAGACAGGTGTGTGGTCCTGTCTGGAGACCTAGGTTCTCTACCTGAGAGACTGTTCTGCATGTTGGAGGGATTCTATGTCCATAAGGCTGAGGGAGTTGTGGCAGCTACGCAAGTCTCGGAGACTAAGAAAGGGTCTCCGGGATTGAGGAGGCTGGGACAACTAGGCGATTCCATGGGACTGAGGAATCTGTAAGTCTCATAGGAGTGGCAGGGTGACAGGAGAACCCCTATTGAGAGGCCAGGAGTGGGCCTGTACAGCAGGGAGCTGTGACTAAAGGCTGAGTGAGCCAGGAGAGAGTTCAGATAACCAAGAGAGCTGGCAAGTTTGTCTGAGGGATCAGTGACTAGAGCAGCGGTTCTGCTGAAGTATTTTCCTGAACCTGTTTTGATGTGTGAAACTGAACCCCCTGTGTGGGAAAGTTTTGTGGTTAGGCTCTGATGCCCATAGTAAAACATGTTAGGTATGTGGCTTTGACAGAGACTCATTGGTTGAGGCTGTTTTTAAGTCTACACTAGGTTGGCTGGATGGGAGCCATATGCTTCTTTGATTTTTTTTTCTTTTACATTGTATTGCTTTGGATGAGCACCTTTGGCATCCTGCATGCAACTTGAAAACATTTACATAAAGAATTTTTTTTTTTTAATTTGCGCAAAAGGAGACTAGAGCTCTTTCCAGACCAGCATATTATTTTACGTAAGACCTGTTTAGTTAAGATGTAAAAAAGCATACCTTTCTGTTTCCCACTTTGTTTAAAGCAATTTCTTTCTATAGCTTTAATCTGACTCTACTTACATAAGAACCCTTTCAATCCGAAAGAAACCCAATTTTAAAGCATACTAAGACATCAAAGATACATCATTGCCATTGCCACGGGTCTACCCCTTGCCCTTCTGTTGACAGGTGACATTATTTTTTAACAGATGGCCTCAGGAACCCGACCCTTGAGCTTACATTCCAGGCTTTCTACGTTTATTAGGACCAGTACCCACGAGCAGCTGCTGGCAGAAATGATGCAGTCTCACATGGTTAAAGACATGTGTCTGATTGGAGGAAAGGTATTGTTTTAGATGTTATGGCTTTTTGTTTATAATTTATGGTTTTTTTTTTAAGTTTAAACATTATATTTGTGGACATACAGATTGAATAACATTACCAAGGGTTCCCTCAAGCGATTATGGATGAAATGCCTGACTTTTCTCAAGATTCCTATTACTAGCTAAATTTATATACTAAATAATTTCACTTTTGTACAATTCATATTCATGTTCAAACTTTTTTTGAGCATATTTTGCTTAGCATGTAAATATTAAATTATATCAATCTACCCAAAATGTATTATTGGTTAAACTTTGTGCTCCTTATATCTTTTGAATACTCCAATGGTGAATTCTGCTGTTCATAGTCCCCAGCTCTGGTTTTGTACATCATTAAGTTTTGCTTCTACTGCTACATCAAATGTATTTCCAATATAAGAGGGAAACTAAGAACCCCCTTGTGATTCTTATGGCAGGATTGTAAACATTGGAACTTAAAGCATATATGAAAGCAAAATTTAAAAAAAGACATATGCAGTACTTATCTGCAATGCATCCATATTTCTACTTGTTTTATCTGTTAAAGTGGAACTTTAGTCAGAAAATTAAGTCCTACTAGATCAGTTCATGCTAGCCCCTTTTGCAGGTATAGCTATGTAAAACATTAAAAATAAGGGCCTGTGCTGTTTAAAATCCAGTAATACACCATGATCTGCACATGCTCAGTTTCTCTCTGTTTTTTGGCACTGTGCTGAAAATGTAGAAGCTGATCTGCCGATTTACTGCTACTCAGGGGTTTTGGGCTTCAGCAAAATGAGAGACTCCAACAAAAATAAACAGGAACAGTGCTTGATGCAATTTACAGCAAACACTAGTTTTGGTAGCATAATTTGTAATGTGGGATGTATGTTCCTTGCTAAAGAACATTATTTTTTTTATCAAGTTGGTATGGGTAAAATTTTTCTTTAAAGACCCTGTTTTACAGGTAAAATACCTTCCATAAACTCCTATTGTCTTTTCAACCCTGTTGTGAGCTGACAACTCGCAGCATTTTTGTGGGTTGAGTTTTATCAGCCCCATCCAGGGTCTTGCTAAACTACTCAACCTCTCCCACACTTCCATATCTACAAAGTAATGGCTAATCATTCTGTAGTCCAAGATAATAACTAGGATAACTCTTTGAGATAACACAGGAAGTGTGCAGAATACACAGGACAGCTGTAACCAGATTAACAGGGTTTTTTACAGCTGACAATTGGTATGAAAAATGTATTTGTATAATAAACAAACCAAAAGGGAGCAAATACTGTAGCAGAAGCTCATTGTTAGGGTTTGAATAAACATTAAGCACAGTGATAACACCACTCGGGGCCCTGAGGAACACTAGAAACCATTAGCTGATTCAATTTTTCAATATCCACCGTGTATGAAATGGCAGTTTCGGGAAGAGTAATCTTTTTGAGGGAAATTTGAAAGCTTAACTTTTGATAAATGTATTCCTTTCTCTGTGACATTTGTTAACATATAATGCAAAACGTAAAGTGTTACTAAACCCACAACCGTAAAATCAGTCTGTATATGCAGTAAAGCATGCTTGTTATACTCACTGTGGACTCTAAGGGGTTAATCCTCTGCATTGTGTAAAAATGCTGTTTGATCTTTTCTTCTCTGCCCCTCCTCTTGTTCAAATGCCCATGCTGATAAGACAGACTGAACTGTGCCCTTCTGCACATGCTCAGTTTAGTGTGTATTGCTAGAGAGTTTGTGTTTCTTTGGAGAGTGCATGTGATCAGCACAGGGCCAATCAGCACTGTCCAGACAGAGGTCAGGGAATTTCCATCCTCCTAGAGAAAACTCCTCCTACAAGCTTTAACCAGTGCTCAGCTGAAGTCACAATACTTCTTTAACTGCTTATGAGAAAATGTATTTAGCAGTTTATATTTACTAAGATAATTGCACTTCCATGTTGTGTGTACTGTGGGAGACCAGATAGAGTGAATGCAGGGTCCTGGGTTTAGTAACACTTTAAGCAAGTTAATAGCTGTGCCTTACTGGTGCTATGTACGATTTCTATGCTGCGCTGTTGATGTGTTCACAATATCTGTTGAAAAATGTGATATGATGGGCTAATGGGCTAAAGTTTAACCTTGTCTGTTTTGAAAGATCTTTACATTTTTTTATCTGTAGAATTAATTATTTTTGATGTACTCAAAAGTGACAAAATAAGTGAAATGCACTGGCAGTGCAAGTTTGTGCTTTAGGTATGGTCCAAGATAAAGTTAATTACAGTAAACACTCTTTAACAGAAAATGAAAAAACAAGTGAGAGTATCGAACTTAATTTGACATTGAATGTACATTCATTGCACCATAATTTATAGTGAAGCATTCACTAAAGTCTGTCTTTCCTTAGGGTTGTGGCAAAAGTGTGATTGCTAAAGAATTTGCTGATATACTTGGGTATGAAGTGGAGCCTGTCATGTTGTACCAGGTAATCTTCTGAGCTTGAAAATATTGGCTAATACACTGAAATAAGGATGAAAGGAAAAAGATCCATTATGTGTCAGTTAGATATAAAATTTGATAAGTTTAATTAAGATTTAAATAGTCAAAATTTCGAATAGTATTATTTATACCTTCTCAGAAGTAGATTACTGTTATTAGTGAATGTCTGTAAAATAGTAGTTGTTGAATTGTGATGCAGTTAAAAGAAAGTGTATCAGCTACATGCTATGTGAATGATTTTTAACCACTTGCCTACCGGGCACTTATACCCCTTTCTTTACCAGGCCAATTTTCAGCTTTCAGCGCCCTCGCATTTTGATTGACAATTGCGCGGTCATGCAAGATTGTACCCATATGAAATTTTTATCATTTTTTTCTCACAAATAGAGCTTTCTTTTGGTGGTATTTAATAGTCGCTGGGCACTTTACTTTTTGCGCTAAAAAAAAAATTGCAAAAAATTAAAAGAAAAAATAAAAGTTTCTTTGTTTCTATTATAAAATTTTTCAAACAGGTAATTTTTCTCCTTCACTGATGTGCGTTGATGAGGCAGCACTGATGGGCACTGATAGGCGGCACTGATAGGCAGCACTAATGAGGTGGCACGGATAGGCGGCACTGATAGGCAGCACTAATGAGGTGTCACGGATAGGCGGCACTGATAGGTGGCACTGACTGGCATCACTGCTGGGCACTGACTGGCAGCACTGCTAGACATTGACTGGCGCAACTGCTGAGCACTGACTGGCACAACCACTGGGCACTGACTGGTGGCACTGACTGGCAGCACTGCTGGGCTGCACTGGTAGGTGGCACTGGTGGGCACAGGTTGGTGGCACTGCTGGGCACAGGTTGGTGGCACTGCTGGGCACAGGTTGGTGGCACTGCTGGGCACAGGTAGGTGGCACTTCTGGGCACAGGTGTGTGGCACTGCTGGGTGGCACAGGTGTGTGCACTGCTGGGTGGCACAGGTGTGTGCACTGCTGGGTGGCACAGGTGGGCGCACTTCTCAGCACAGGTGGGTGGAACTGGTGGGTGGCACTGCTGGGCACCGATCATCAGGGCACTGATCATCAGTGCCCTGATGATCGGTGCCATTCTCTGCTCTGACAACTGCCGGTTCTCGGCAGTACTTCCCTCACGCTCTGACACCGTGAGTAAACTGCAGCCGAGAACCGGCAATTGCATTTCCTGGTGATCAGCATGTCATTGGATACGGCTGATCACGTGGTAAAAGGCCGCTGTGATTGGCCTTTTACCACATCACGTGATCAGCTGTGTCCTCGTGATGCCATTTTTGGGTGTAAGATTTGTTTGCAGTGTTGCCCACCCCTCAGTTGGACCACTTTTGGATGTTTTATGGTTAATGACTAAAGATCCCCTGTCCTGTACGATTCATGTGCTGCAGTACAGGACACATGTCCCTCCCCTCTGTTCCCCTTTGATCTCCCTATTGATTGCTACAAAACTGAGGCTAGCTGGGAGTGGGGTGAAAGGGGGAGGAGTTATGAAGGGGGGTGTCTCTTCAGTTTTTTTCTTTTTTTTTTGCCAATGTCCAGTTACCCGAAGGTAATTGCATTTAATAATTGATTGTAGACTAAAGGTACTGTGTCCTGTACTGTATGCTAAGTAAAAGTTTTTAAAGGTAAGTCAAACATCCAATTTTCCTGTGTATGTTTCCTGTTCTGCCATATAATGGATTTCTGTCTGTCTCCTACATATTAAATGAAAACATAATAGCCTTGATTGTCATAGTCAGGACCAAAACCTTCAAATACCACTAACTATCTGTATAAAAAAATATTTTCCCTTTGAATATACTAATCAGTAATATTCCATAAAAAGTCTTGTTTGTCAGTTTATTTAATTATCTGTAGAATACTAGGACTTCTTTATTATGTATGTTTTTATATTCATACTCTACATCAGCCTTTTTCAATCAGGGTGCCATTGCATCATGCAGTGCCTTCTGGGTTCTTCAGGGATGCCTTGGCAAAATGCCTAAAAATTGCCCCAAATTTCTCAGAAATTATCAACAAGCAAGCAAGTAGATCAAGCCTGCATTTTTGTTACACAAAGCCACAGGATTTTATTGTGTAATATTAGTACCTTGAACACTGTGGACCAGCCACTGGCATCCTAACAATTGATGATCTCATTGGTTGATGAGGAGGATTTCGGGCACCTGCATCCTTTTCTGCTACTACCCTGGCTTTCTCTGTCAGCACTTGGGTCACAGGGAGAGAAACTGAGGGTTTCTACTATTAGTCAGTGCCAGCTGTTGTCTTCTAAGTTATGAGGTCCACACAGAAACAGTAATAAGACAAATCTGTTGTCTTATATCAATGATGGAGGACGTATGACCAGTGTATATTTATACAGTCAGGTCCATAAATATTGGGACATCGACACAATTCTAACATTTTTCGCTCTATACACCACCACAATGGATTTGAAATGAAACGAACAAGATGTGCTTTAACTGCTGACTGTCAGCTTTAATTTGAGGGTATTTACATCCAAATCAGATGAACGGTGTAGGAATTAATATTATCAATAATATTAGCAATATTATCTGCTCATATTCAGCCAAATGCTTCAGAACTCATTGGACGCCACTTCACAGTGCAGATGGACAATGACCCAAAGCATACTGCAAAAGCAACCAAAGAGTTTTTTAAGGGAAAGAAGTGGAATGTTATGCAATGGACAAGTCAATCACCTGACCTGAATCCGATTGAACATGCATTTCACTTGCTGAAGACAAAACTGAAGGGAAAATGCCCCAAGAACAAGCAGGAACTGAAGACAGTTGCAGTAGAGGACTGGCAGAGCATCACCAGGGATGAAACCCAGCGTCTGGTGATGTCTATGCGTTCCAGACTTCAGGCTGTAATTGACTGCAAAGGATTTGCAACCAAGTATTAAAAAGTGAAAGTTTGATTTATGATTGTTATTCTGTCCCATTACTTTTGGCCCCTTAACAAGTGGGAGGCACATATGCAAACTCCATATTAATGAAAGGAAAAAGCTTCTCTCCCAGCTAAAATAACTTCTCTTGAAATAGTTTACTGGAGGGGTTTCTGATTGGCTGACAAAACACTTTTGGTCTTACATAAGACTTCACTTGTCATTATTATAGATAACAATTGAGGTCACTATAGTGTTTACCAGATACGCAAGTCACCTTTCACCATTATAATACCCCTGTAGTCTAATTATCATCAATAAATGCTTCTTGTATGGTCAAATCACATTCTTTATCATCCTTAAAAATGTAAACAATGTACCCTTTGAAATTAGATAAACAGGCTAGTCCCCAAATACCAAGGTGACCTTGCATAAAATTAATATAGCAAAGAGTTCTTTTGATGTGTAAAGTGGTTTTGTCACTGGCCTGTCCCAGAATTAACAATATCTGTTTCAAATATATATATATATGTGTGAAACTCGAAAAATTAGAATATCGTGCAAAAGTTTATTTATTTCAGTAATGCAACTTAAAAGGTGAAACTAATATATGCGATAGACTCATTACATTCAAAGCAAGATAGCTCAAGCTGTGATTTGTCATAATTCTGATGATTATGGCTTACAGCTCATGAAAACCCCAAATCCACAATCTCAGAAAATTAGAATATTACATGCAATCAATAAAACAAGGATTGTACATAGAACAATATCCGACCTCTGAAAAGTATAAGCATGCATATGTACTCAGTACTTGGTTTGGGCCCCTTTTGCAGCAATTACTGCCTCAATGCGGAGTGGCATGGAAGCTATCAGCCTGTGGCACTGCTGAGGTGTTATGGAAGACCAGGATGCTTCAATAGTGGCCTTCAGCTCTTCTGCATTTTTCGGTCTCATGTCTCTCATCTTTCTCTTGGCAATGCCCCATAGATTCTCTATGGGGTTCAGGTCAGGTGAGTTCGCTTGCCAATCAAGCACAGTATTCCCACGGTCATTGAACCAGGTTTGGTGCTTTTGGCAGTGTGGGCAGGTGCCAAGTCCTGCTGGAAAATGAAGTCAGCATCCCCATAAAGCTCGTCTGCAGAAGGAAGCATGAAGTGCTCCAAAATCTCCTGGTAGACAGCTGCGTTGACCCTGGACTTAATGAAGCACAGTGGACCAACACCACCAGATAACATGACTCCCCAAATCAACACAGACTGTGGAAACTTCACACTGGACTTCAAGCATCTTGCAGTGTGTGCCTCTCCATTCTTCCTCCATTCTCTGGGTCCTTGGTTTCCAAATGAGCTGCAAAAGTTGCTCTCATCAGAAAAGAGGACTTTGGACCACTGAGCAACAGACCAGGTCTGTTTTTCTTTAGCCCAGGTAAGACGCTTCTGACGTTGTTTGTTGTTCAGGAGTGGCTTGACAAGAGAAATACGACATTTGAAGCCCATGTCCAGGATCCGTCTGTGTGTGGTGGCTCTTGATGCACTGACTCCAGCCTCAGTCCACTCCTTGTGAAAGTCCCCAACACTTTTGAATGGCCTTTTCATGACAATCCTCTCCAGGCTGCGGTCATCCCTGCTGCTTGTGCATCTTTTTCTTCCACACTTTTCCCTTCCACATAACTTTCTATTAATGTGCTTTGATACAGCACTTTGGGAACATCCAACTTCTTTTGCAATTACCTTTTGAGGCTTTCCCTCTTTATGGAGGGTGTTAGTGACAGTTTTCTACACAACTGTCAGGTCAGCAGTCTTTCCCATGATTGTGATTCCTACTCAACCAGACTGAGAGACCATTTAAAGGCTCAAGAACCCTTTGCAGATGTTATGGCTTAATTAGCTGCTTAGAGTGGGACACTTTGAGACGAGAATATTGCACCTTTTCACAACATTCTAATTTTCTAAGATTGTGGATTTTTCGAGTTTCACCTGTACAGACTGATATTTTTGTTATGGGTTTTAGTAACACTAGGGGTGTAAATTCTTCTCTGATCAGTTTGATTCTTAATGAATGTCCATAACTTTAAATCTGTGGATACTGGGAAAATAACTACAGTAGGCAAGCATATAAACAAAATAAAGCCAGTTTAAACTTTTGCACGATATTCTAATTTTTTGAGTTTCACCTGTATATACACAGTCAGTTCCATATATATTTGGACACAGGCACAATTTTCATACTTTTGGCTCTGTATGTTACCAGAGTAAATTAAAACGAAACAATCCAAATGAATTTGAAGGGCAGATTTTCAGCTTTAATTCAAGGGGTTGATCATAGATATCAAGTACAAATTTTAGGAACTGCGACCAATTTTATACACAGTCCCTCCATTTTCAGGGGCTCAAATGTAATTGGACAAATGAATATAATCAGAAATAAAATGTTAATTTTTAATATTTTGTTGAGAATCCTTTACTGGCAATGACTGCCTGAAGTCTGGAACCCATGGACATTACCAAAGACTGGGTTTCCTCCTTTCTGATGCTTTGCCAGGCTATAACTGTAGCTGCCTTCAGTTGTTTTTTGTTTGTGGGTCTTTCTGTCTTTAGTTTTGCCGTCAACAAGTGAAATGCTCAATTGGGTTGAGATCACGTGATTGACTCAGCCATTGCAGAATATTCCACTTTGTTTCCTTCAAAAAGCTCCTGGGTTGCTTTTGCAGTGTGTTTTGGATCATTGTCCATCTGTACTGTGAAGCCCTGTCCAATCAAATTTAGTGCATTTGGCTGAATCTTGGCTGACAGTATATCTCTAAACAGTGCAGAATTCATCCGGCTGCTTCTGTCACATCATCAGTAAACACCAATGACCCAGTGCCACTGGAATCCATGCATGCCCATGCCATCACACTGCCACCATGTTTTACAGATGACGTTGTGTGCTTTGGATCGTGAGCTGTTCAAGCCTTCTCCACACTTTTTTCTTCCCGTG